TTCGGAAAATTGGCATTCAGGCAAATGACTTCGGGAAAAGATATATTCAGGAAAAAGGCATTCAGGAAATCGTACTGTAACCTTTTTTCATAAGTTGATATTAAAAAAAACGCTAAAACGGCATTTTTTTCGTAAAATGATATGAAAATGCCATTTCGGCATTTTTTTCTTAAGTTAATATGAAAAAATGTCATTTTGACGTTTTTTTTTTATAAATTGATATGAAAAATGCCGAAATGGCATTTTTTTTTCATAAGTTGATATTAAAAAAAACGCTGAAATGGCATTTTTTCGTAAAATGATATGAAAATGCCATTTTGGCATTTTTTTCTTAATATGAAAAAATGTCATTTTGGCGTTTTTTTCATAAATTGATATGAAAAATGCCGAAATGGCATTTTTTTCCATAAGTTGATATTAAAAAAAAACGCTGAAATGACATTTTTTTCATAAAATGATATGAAAATGCCATTTCGGCATTTTTTTCTTAGGTTAATACTAGCCGTAACCCGTCGCGCTGCGCCAGAATATATATTGAAAAGAGAATTCTAGAAATTTTGTTACTTTTATAATACTAAATTTTGTTTGTAATTAGAAATTTGAAGAATTGAAATTCAAAATAAAATAAATAATAAAATTAAATAAAATAAAAATTTAAAAAGTGTAAAAAAAGCCTAAAAAAGAGTTCTAAAAGGTAGGCAGTACCCTCAGAAAAAATTTTTTTATATAGAAAAATTCTTTTACACATTAAAAAATTTTTTGCGTGTTAATAAGAAAGGTGTAGATTTGATTTAATATTAGACTAAGAATTTAGAGGACATTTTATATAGTAATTTATATTTACAATATGATTATTATATTAGAATAATACATTATATTTATTAGTATAATACAATTATTTATATTTGAATGATATAAATTATATTTACAATATTTACAATACAATAATGTGAAGTGTATTTACAATATGTTAAGTTAGAATGATTTAGTATTACAATAACTTTGAGACAAATATTATAATATTAAACAAATGTTGCAGTCGGTATTATAGAATTTATGGTTTACTGTACGTTTACAGACTCATCACAAAATCAATTCTGAATAATTAATTGTTACAAAAAAAAAATAAATAAATTTCTCATCACCAAGAATACCATCATACGAATGTATTATACAGAGATTTATATCATAGTAATCTATTGTTTAAAATAAAAATTTATATTAAAAAAAAAAATTCCATTATCAAATCTATTGTTACAAAAAAAAAAAAAAAAAAAATT